GCGGTGCAGGTCTTAGCTCATTGGCGGAGAGCAATCAGCTGATGTTTCGAGGGGATTATTTCAAGAGCGCTAAATGAAGCTCCTGCTAGGAGCTTCTTGAGCTCCTCTTTGAGCTGTAGTGGTTATGGTGCTTGGAATGTTCATTTAATGCTGCTACAGTCCTCTGTGCACCAATGCAATAAATTGCTGTGTGATCATAGTGAGAAATGATAACTGTTTATTAATTCTGTAATAGTATAACATTCTACCTACAGACATTCTAAATAATTTACAGGAGACTCTTTATATTGGTACTCTTTAAGCATAATATCTTCATATAATAAAACTATGACATGATTAGAGGTTACACTGCACTCGATAGATCATGGAATTACTGTGTAGCCCTCCTAGGTGTCATGGACTCAAGCAACCATCATTTGTGTCACCTGTAACTGAGACACATAAAATAGATGGTGTCCACTGACTGCTTGGGGGGATTTCTTTAAATAAAGTAATTACATTTCAGTTTACTTCATGAATAAAACTAAACATGCACTTTTTAAAATATAAAATAGCATGGGTACACAGCCTAATGAGGTGTGCTGCTGGTATTCATGGCCATGGCATCAACTGTCTATCTATAAGCCAACACTGCACAGAACATTGTTTAACATTATAGGATCAAAATGTTACCATCGATTTGATAACGATCTGTGCATCCTCCATTTCAACTTCAAGGTGGGAAGTGGCTGAGCTGGGTATCTGGTTCCATCTATCTTATCCCACACATGGGCCCTGTGAATATAAAAATTACAGTTAGTTTAAGTGCATTATTGGAGACATACCATCCAGTTATATAGTTTAAATTAAATATGGGGGCATAGGTAACGTTACATGTTATGTTGAAAATACGTCTCCTTTGAAATATAAATCATGTATTGTATTTTAATTGACAGTATCCAGGGGAAAAGTATATATTACTTATATTACAGATAAGAACATAGTTATATTCTACTCAACAGTGGGTTGTTGTGATCAGACAAAAAAAAGACTAAAAACATTTTTTTTTCCATACTTGACTATTTTGGCATGGCAGTTGTCCTTTTTTGGTAAATTTTGTGAATATACCTGTATGTATGTGTATATATATATATATATATATATATATATATAGTGTAGATTGGAGATATATATATATATATATTTATTTATATATCAATACAGTAGGATACTGTGCTTAGTTATATGTTGAAAGCTGTTTGTCTGTTTCCTCTGTTACCCAGGTAGCGCCAGCTTGCCTAAGGCTGGCCTTGTGTCTATCGCTATATTGCTGTAAAAGTTCCTCCGTTTGGGGTTTGATGCATTAATCAGCCAATGAGAAAGGTTTGCTGTCAGATCAGCCGCTAGTCCAATAAACCATTCTAAGCAGCGCTGAATGGCTTGTTCATTGCTTTACACAGATAAATCTACTCACTAAGGACTGATCTCTCTATTTCCATGTCGTTGTGTTCATATGCATAACATTTTAGCCGCAAAATATGTCAAAATTCCAATATGTTTGAAATCCTATTAACCCACTGAGTGTTTGAAAAACCACCAGCATCACAATCACATTGTACGTTTAAGGCAAATGCAAACTGTCTAGAACTGTTTCCTAATGACATCCTAAATAATATCAATCATTTTGTAAATCTCAAAATCTAGGTTACAAAACATCCTCCCCAGGAGGTAACATTCATTGTAAAATTTGCAATAAGTCTGATTTTATGGAACGACAATGTCTACGGAGCAATTTCTTCTTCCCCTTGGGTTTTTTTTGTTCAGTTTTTACAATTTATTTTACAGCTA